TTTGTTGAAAACAAATCGAAATATTTAATTTTATTTATGTGAAATTGTTACTGTCATTAAAGAATTATTAGAGGAATAAAAGTAAACAGTCGCCACAGGTTTGATAACAGATGTTGGCGGTTACGTAACGGCGGACTTCACGTCTTCAAAATATTTTTTCACCGGACATGCATGTCTCTTACTTTGTTTTTTTTTCGCCAAGCTCGTTGCTGGTTAATCAGCACTTCAAATTGCAATAACTATTTAATTGATGTCGGGCGTAATCAAACCGACACGAGCACAGCGTACTGTGAAATCACGGCGAACGCTTAGCCTCTGAGCACCTACGGTTCTTAAATAATTATTAATAACTAGCGACTTGCTTCATCTTCGCCTGGGTAGAATCTATTAATGTGACGTTATTAAGATTTAAAATAATTATCGAAAATCATTTATTGCAGTTTTCGCGATTATTAAGAAAAATATGTTTAAGTTTTAAGATAAAATAAAGCCCAGATCAGTTTTTGCATTGCTCTCTGATTCCATCTCATCATCTGATTTGATCTCCACTCGTGAAGTTTCATGACAAATAGTTCAGCCATTCTGAACATTAGCCCGGAACGACAAACAGGCAGACATACAAAATGTTAACAAAACTCACCAAGTGCGTGTCGCGCCACGCACAATGCAGAGACAGGATTTCGTAGTTGCCCGTCACAATACGTGGGCTTTGTTAATAATGAACTTATTTAAAAAAAAACTGTGCATATCAGTAATTAGCCATTGTTAAAATGGTACCGTTGCGATGACGGTGCGGTGCCATCGCATCGTACATGTAATGTATGCTAACGTTACCGTCACGATCTATCAAAAGTCCAGTGCTAAATATGCCTTCCATACAGATAAACTTATAGAGGGGATATTTAAAATAGTTGCCACGCTTGGCAAGCGAGTTGGCAACCTCGGTTTTTTGTTTATTGTTGGTTTTAGGGAGAATCTGCTGCCCATCTCCTGGTTTGCTTTACTGTATCGCCTCTTACGACACCCACGAGACTATACGGGGTAGTGGATATTCTCACACCGCCACTACGCGGTCAATATGTACGCATTATGTACCTACTGCGTACGTATTTATTACTACAATAGCCTGATAGCACATTCAATATCAAGCAGTGAACTTAAAGCGAGGGCGAAGACTCTGCATTAAAAATATGTTTTAACTAAGCATTACGCAATTTAACTTCAAATAATCTTACCTACTTAATTTCGAATTAGAAATAAGATAACCAAATTACTTTGAAACATTTTGCAATCCTTTGTTAGCGTTAAATATTTAGCGTTCACTGGTAAAATTCATTAGGCCGGTACTAATTAAACAACAGTGCCTTAGATTTAACTCTCGCAGAATTCCATAAACGTGCCCCTAACTAAAAAACACGTATACACTCATGAGCCGTGAAGTTCCTGATAATTATTTTATTTTATCCTGGTGATCTTAACCAGGATACTAGGATAGTTATTAAATTATCGTATTGCTGATAGTTCTTGATACGATTGCAAATTTTGAAGTAAATCGGCCGTCCACAAGTTGGCGAAAATTACATTCAAAATTTCCGTTACATAGATAGATAGACTCATAAAAAGCTAATAAGAACGTGTTAAAATACATCTCCTTTCTCTTTTTCTTTGTCGTACTTACCTACCTTGCAAACGCGTAAACACAACGTATCCCGTGATAAATCATTAAAGTTTGAAGTTGGCTAATAATATAGGTTAAAACTTGTTAGAAATAACAAAAGCAACAATGTATTGATAAGTGACTTTAGTTCTGGCAATTACATACATACGTAAACACTCACGCCTGTCACCCAGAGGGGTAGGCAGAGACTACAGACTTCCATTAAGCACGATTCTGACATACCTCTCTCGCCTCTTCAACATCCATATACCTACGCATACATGCTCATCGGTTATGGGTACTCTTAATTTGGCTCAGTTTTAGTATATCGCCAATTTGGTCGACAAACTTTCGCCTAGGACGTCCGTTTCCGAGTTCCGACTCTTCCATTCACTTCTGCAACATATATTTGATTTGTCAGTCTTTCCTCATTCATTCTTTCTACATGACCGAACCACCGAAGCATTCCTTTCTTAATCCTGGTCACCGCATCATCTTGCAACTCACTCAGATTCAACCCTAACATACTCCTTAGCGACCGCATTTCTACTGCATTTATTCCACTCTCGTGCTTCTTCTGTCACACCCAACTATCACTACTATATGTTAAAGTAGGGACTAATACAGCATTGTGAATAGCCATACGTGCCTTTTTTGACACATTCTGACTTTTCACAATAGAGTGTAGAGCCCCATTTACTTTATTTCCTGCATTCACTCGTCGTTCAATATCCTTATCATATCTCCCATCGCTGCTGTATACACATCCCAAATATACGAACTCATCCACTTGCTCAATAAATTTCTGGCAATTACTAGCGATAAATTTACTGGTTAAGGCAGTTTTTTTCCACTGTTTTTCATTCCAACTTTTTTTTAACTACGAGAGTATTGACACAAATATTGATCTGCCCATTAGCTATTAAGTACTTCCGCAATTATAAGTAATTCCGCTATAAATAACGCCGATGTTAAATATTCAGCACTATGCCCAATGACCTCAATAGTGCCTACCAAAAAATAGGTCTTAAGATGAACATAGACAAAACAAAGATCATGTGTAACGTCCATGTCATAACTATGCCAGTAGTTGTTGACGAGAGGCTGGACAGTGATCGGGAAATTACGACACATCTTCTCGTCAGGTATACCTCAAAACTAGAAAACGAGATTGTACAACCATTGCGTGTTGCCAGTGATAACTTATGGATCTGAGACGAGGTGCTTCACTGCTGGCCATATGAGGACGCTCAAGGTCACTCTGCGTGCTATGGAGAGGGTTAAACTCGGGGTTTCTCTGCGTGATAAATTTAGAAATGAGAATATCCGCATAGAGCCAGAGTGACGGACATAGCCCAACGGATTAGTTTGCTGAAGTGGCAATGGGTTAGCCATATATCACGAAGAACTGACAACCGATGGGGGGAAAAGTCATTATTACGGAAGAAAATCTGCGCACACAAAAACAATCGTCTGTGACTACGAAACCCACACATTGAATTAAAACAAAAAAGAAAACTTTTCACGTACAAACATATTATAACAGTATCATTCGGTGACAACAACAACTCGGCAGCCTACATTCTAAAACAAATCTAAAACAACACGACCGATATTATTGTAATTATTAAGTTTAATAATATAAGAATTTAAAAATAATTAAATAACACGCATTGACCATTAGCTGTGATGATCCTGATAACTATTTTATTTTATCCTGATGATCCTGATCAGGGTATTAAGATACAGTTAGAAAATTATTGTATGGTCCCTTGATACGAGTGCATGTTTTCAAATCAATCAGCCGTCTATAAGTTGGTGAAAATTACATAAAAATGCAGTTACATAGATAGATAGATAAAAATAATAATAATAATAATAATAATAATGCATCATCCAGCATCCAGGATGCATCATCCGAGATCGTCGGTAATGAGGCTGTACTTGCCGCGAAAGCATGGTGGGCGTGGCTTCTTGAGCGCGCTCACCATGCATAATCGCGAAGTGTGCAGCCTCCGTAATAATTCCTGGCGAGATCGGATGATCCATTCTATAAGGACGTCATTTCTTGTGATAAAGGACTTACCCCTCTATCCTTAGCCAACGAGCAATGGCAAGACCCGGCAGTGCAGACAATTTCCGACCGGGAGACCGTATGGAAGGAGAAGGAGCTCCACGGGAGGTTCTACAAGTCTCTACATGGGCCTTTCGTAGACACAGTAACCTCTCTCCACTGACTACGCTTTGGTGACCTCTTCGGGAAACCGAGGGTTTTGTCTGTGCAATACAGGATCAGGTTATTAAGACCAACAACTATCGGAGATACATCCTAAAGGATGGCACCATCGACATCTGTCGAGCTTGTCGCCATCCCGGTGAGTCACTTAGGCATGTCATCTCCGGTTGTTCGGCGCTTTCTAACTCTGAGTACTTGCACAGGCACAACCTAGTAGCCAGAATTCTACACCAGGAGCTCGCTCTGAAATACGGTTTCGTGGATCGGAAGTTGCCGTATTACAAGTACTTGCCGGAAGCCGTGCTCGAAAATGACCGCGCCAGGCTCTATTGGGACCGGGCCATCATCACAGACAGGACTATTCTTGCGAATAAGCCTGATATTGTGCTGATGGACCGGGCACAGTCAAGGATATTTTTGGTCGACATTACCATTCCGTGTGACGAGAACCTCGTGAAAGCCGAAACAGATAAGCAAACAAAATATCTGGACCTGGCTCACGAGGTGACCGACATGTGGGGTGGTCTGCCGACCGAAATTATTCCTGTAGTCGTCTCTGCAAACGGGCTAATCCCAGTCAGCCTCTCGGGTCATCTGAGGCGGCTGGGACTACGTGGCGGACCGCTCCAGGCTCAAATGCAGAAGGCGGTGCTCCTCGATACCGCCCGCATCGTCCGCCGGTTTCTTTCCCTTTCCCCCTAACCCTCGGCCGTTTGGTCTCCCCCTGCCGAGGGCTTCCATCTGGTTGGGCTTTTATTTATTTATGTATTTTCATATTTATTTTATTGATATTTTTGTATGTTTATCTTTTCATTTTCATTTATAATTATATATTTATACATCCCAACCAGATGAGAAAACTATATAGATACCCCACACATAATAATAATAAAGGCGTAGGGAAGTGACGACCCCATCGCCCGCTGATATAACGGTTATGTGACAAAACCGCTACGTCGGCGCAGTCAGTCAGCACCTTGCCAAGAGGTGTTAGTGCCGTGCCTCGGCAAAAATTGAAGGTGCCAAGGCCCGCTTGTGCACATGGCCTAACCATGAAACGGCGCCGGGTCTGGGCGTCTCCCGCTAAATGACGCCCTAAAATGGATGATGGAATCAAATGGAACGCGCAAAGGGCCGCTGCCTGGAGGTCGCCAGGGCGCGTCTGGAGCTGGCGCTGGACGCGACAGCATGCGAACCGCCAGCCGAGCGCGAGGTGCTGCACGACCACCCAGCAGCTCCTCGCATCCATCATCCCCACCAGCTGGCTTGGTGCCGGCAGGGTCTTCGCGGGCTCAGCAATCGGCACCCGCCACTGGTGGAGTACGCCGCATGCGTTGGACAACCCAAATGAACAGCAACGCATTGCGGGCGTATTTTAGGGCTAAGGGGGGAGAAACTGGAGGTTTTGCGTATCGGGCAAGGATGCATCGACTTTTTGCTGAGCTGGAGCCATCTGTAACCGTCACCGAGCAAAACCTGGCAGACCGAGTTCGGTATATCTTGCGCTCAAATACATTTGATGTCACCGAACTCGAACGGCTACGACGTGAGGCTGTTCCTTCATCGGGTGAAAATGCTGCGGCTGAGGATGCGGCGCCACAACTTGCTGAGCAAACGGCAAATGTGGATGCCGCCGTGAATACGCCAGTTGTGGTTGATTCAAACGATGATGGAACAGTCGCCCAGGAACTGGAACTAGAGCAAATGAGGAGTACATTGGAAGAGGCGATTGTGGAAACGCGCAGTACGACTCTCGAAAATCGACCGCGACTTCCCCGCTTAGCCCTAAGCAAGCGGAATCGGGCTGTCGTGAGGGCTCTGAACCCAATGCTGGTTACCTATTTGGAAGCCAGCCGGGACCTTTGCGATACGGACTCAATTCTTTTTGGCGCCGCACTGGCAGTCTGCCGTATTATAGGTGCCAAACTTTCCACGGCTGGACGCGCTACTGGACAAAGTAGTGCTATCCCACCCTGGAGAATAAGAATTGAAGAACGTATCGCAAAGGCTAGGGCCCTCATCGGCAGACTGATATGCTTCAGGTCAGGCAATACCAGGCCAAGGATTGTGCGCACCGTCAGGATGGCGTTTGCTGGGACAAATGTTAGTTTGTCCCAGCCGGATATAATGCAAAAACTGACGGAGCGCATAGACGACCTGAAGCAAAGAATAGCTGCTTGGGGAAAGCGGATTCGGCGATATACCGAGAGGTCGACACGGTTCAACCAGAATCGTCTCTTCCAGAGTGATCAGAAGAGGCTCTATAAATCATTGGAGCGACCAATAGTAAGTGGAACGGGCCCTGCACCAAATCAGACCGACATGGTAGCATTCTGGCGCAGCCTGTGGTCAGAGCCCGTAAACCACAACGAGGGCCCTTGGACGGAAGTTGTGGCGAGTCAGTGTGCGAGTATTATGCCCATGGACCCCGTCATCATAACGCCGGATGACGTAGCTGAGGCGGTCCGTAGGGCCCCGAACTGGAAAAGTCCGGGGCTTGACGGGCTGCATCACTACTGGCTGAAGGGGTTCATGGTGTGTCACTCTGTGCTCGCCCGACAGTTTCAAGAGGCTCTCAACCAGAAGTCGCTCCCAAGCCTCTTCACTACTGGGATCACTCATTTGGTTCCTAAAGATCAGGGTGCCACAGACCCGAGCAAATACCGCCCCATCACGTGTCTACCGACCATATACAAGACACTAACATCCATTTTGAGCACAAGAATCGCTCGTCACCTGGACTTAAATCAGGTGATGTCGCGCGCTCAAAATGGATGTCGGGGCGGCGGTCGTGGAACCAAGGAACCACTCCTCATTGACGCGGTCATTGGCAAAGTGGTGAAACGCAACCGTCGGAACTTCTCCGCCGCCTGGATAGATTACAGAAAGGCATTTGACTCGGTGCCCCATACATGGCTAAAGAGGGTCCTCGAGCTGTACAAGATTGACTGTACAGTTCGAGACTTCCTCGAGCAGTGTATGGGGCAGTGGAGTACGATCCTCTGTCATCTAGGCGAGCGGATGACGGCTGCGGAAAGCCGCATAAGGATAAGAAGGGGTATATTCCAGGGCGACTGTCTGAGTCCAATCTGGTTCTGCCTCTCTTTGAACCCTCTCAGTACTTTACTGGAGGGCTCCGGGAGGGGATTTCAGCTTCGGAAAGGAGGTACAAAAGTGACCCACCTTTTCTATATTGATGACCTCAAATTATTCGCCTCCAGTCGCTCCCATCTTATGGAATTGCTAAACATCACGTGTGAATTTAGCAATTCTATTAGAATGGAGCTGGGGACGGATAAGTGTGCGGTCCTTCATGTTGAAAGGGGAAGGGTTGCTAACTCTGAGGGCATAGACTTATCTATGCCCGTCAACTTAAGAACCCTTTCCGAGGCTGAAACATACCGATACCTGGGTATGTCACAGAACATCGGTATCGATGAGGCTGGTATGAAACAGTCAGTTTGCGACGTGTTTTATGCACGCTTGACCAAAGTGCTTAACAGCCTTTTGTCCGGTGTGAATAAGGCACACGCATATAACGGTTGGGTCATGCCTGTCCTCATGTATAACTTTGGCATACTCAGGTGGACTCAGACTGAACTTAACGCCCTGGATAGAAAAGTCCGCACTACCATGACGTCCCATAGGATGCATCATCCGAGATCGTCGGTAATGAGGCTGTACTTGCCGCGGAAGCATGGTGGTCGTGGCTTCTTGAGCGCGCTCACCATGCATAATCGCGAAGTGTGCAGCCTCCGTGATTACTTCCTTGCGAGATCGGATGATCCATTCTATAAGGACGTCATTTCTTGTGATAAAGGACTTACCCCTCTATCCTTAGCCAACGAGCAATGGCAAGACCCGGCAGTGCAGAGCATTTCCGACCGGGAGACCGTATGGAAGGAGAAGGAGCTCCACGGGAGGTTCTACAAGGCTCTACATGAGCCTTTCGTAGACACAGTAGCCTCCCTCCACTGGCTACGCTTTGGTGATCTCTTCGGGGAAACCGAGGGTTTTGTCTGTGCAATACAGGATCAGGTTATTAAGACCAACAACTATCGGAGATACATCCTAAAGGATGGCACCGTCGACATCTGTCGAGCTTGTCGCCATCCCGGTGAGTCACTTAGGCATGTTATCTCCGGTTGTTCGGCGCTTTCTAACTCTGAGTACTTGCACAGGCACAACCTAGTAGCCAGAATTCTACACCAGGAGCTCGCTCTGAAATACGGTCTCGTGGATCGGAAATTGCCGTATTACAAGTACTTGCCGGAAGCCGTGCTCGAAAATGATCGCGCCAGGCTCTATTGGGACCGAACCATCATCACAGACAGGACTATTCTAGCGAATAAGCCCGATATTGTGCTGATGGACCGGGCACAGTCAAGGATATTTTTGGTCGACATTACCATTCCGTATGACGAGAACCTCGTGAAAGCCGAAACAGACAAGCAAACAAAATATCTGGACCTGGCTCACGAGGTGACCGACATGTGGGGTGGTCTGCCGACCGAAATTATTCCTGTAGTCGTCTCTGCAAACGGGCTAATCCCAGTCAGCCTCTCGGGTCATCTGAGGCGGCTGGGACTACGTATCGGACCGCTCCAGGTTCAAATGCAGAAGGCGGTGCTCCTCGATACCGCCCGCATCGTCCGCCGGTTTCTTTCCCTTTCCCCCTAACCCTCGGCCGTTTGGTCTCCCCTGCCGAGGGCCTCCATCTGGTTGGGCTTTTACTTATTTATGTACTTTTATATTTATTTTGTGTTATTGATATTTATGTATATTTATCTTTTCATTTTCATTTATAATTATATATTTATAGAACCCAACCAGATGAGAAAACTATATAGATACCCCACATAATAATAATAATAGATAAATAATAATAATAATAATGTGGGGTGGTCTGCCGACCGAAATTATTCCTGTAGTCGTCTCTGCAAACGGGCTAATCCCAGTCAGCCTCTCGGGTCATCTGAGGCGACTGGGACTCCGTGACGGACCGCTCCGGGCTCAAATGCAGAAGGCAGTGGTCCTCGATACCGCCCGCATCGTCCGTCGGTTTCTTTCCCTTTCCTCCTAACCCTCGGCCGTTTGGTCTCCCCTGCCGAGGGCTTCCATCTGGTTGGATCTTTATTTATTTGTGTATTTTTTTGTATTTATTTTATTTTATTGATATTTATGTATATTTATCTTTTCATTTTAATTTATAATTATATATTTATAGAAACCAACCAGATGAGAAAACTATACAGATACCCCAAAAATAATAATTAAAACTGAAACATACCGATACCTGGGTATGTCACAAAACATCGGTATCGATGAGGCTGGTATGAAACAGTCAGTTTGCGACGTGTTTTATGCACGCTTGACCAAAGTGCTTAACAGCCTTTTGTCCGGTGTGAATAAGACACATGCATATAACGGTTGGGTCATGCCTGTCCTCATGTATACCTTTGGCATACTCAGGTGGAGTCAGACTGAACTTAACGCCCTGGATAGAAAAGTCCGCACTACAATGACGTCCCATAGGATGCATCATCCGAGATCGTCGGTAATGAGGCTGTACTTGCCGCGAAAGCATGGTGGGCGTGGCTTCCTGAGCGCGCTCACCATGCATAATCGCGAAGTGTGCAGCCTCCGTCATTACTTCCTGGCGAGATCGGATGATCCATTCTATAATGACGTCATTTCTAGTGATAAAGGACTTACCCCTCTATCCTTAGCCAACGAGCAATGGCAAGACCCGGCAGTACAGAGCATTTCCGACCGGGAGACCGTATGGAAGGAGAAGGAGCTCCATGGGAGGTACTACAGGGCTCTACATGAGCCTCACGTAGATACAGCCGCCTCCCTCAACTGGCTACGTTTCGGTGACCTCTTCGGGGAAACCGAGGGTTTTGTCTGTGCAATACAGGATCAGGTTATTAAGACCAACAACTATCGGAGATACATCCTAAAGGATAGCACTGTCGACGTCTGTCGAGCTTGTCGCCATCCCGGGGAGTCACTTAGGCATGTCATCTCCGGTTGTTCGGCGCTTTCTAACTCTGAGTACTTGCACAGGCACAACCTAGTAGCCAGAATTCTACACCAGGAGCTCGCTCTGAAATACGGTCTCGTGGACCGGAAATTGCCGTATTACAAGTACTTACCGGAAGCCGTGCTCGAAAATGACCGCGCCAGGCTCTACTGGGACCGGGCCATCATCACAGACAGGACTATTCTTGCGAATAAGCCTGATATTGTGCTGATGGACCGGGCACAGTCAAGGATATTTTTGATCGACATTACCATTCCGTATGACGAGAACCTCGTGAAAGCCGAAACAGATAAACAAACAAAATATCTGGACCTGGCTCACGAGGTGACCGACATGTGGGGTGGTGTGTCGACCGAAATTATTCCTGTAGTCGTCTCTGCGAATGGGCTAATCCCAGTCAGCCTCTCGGGTCATCTGAGGCGACTGGGACTCCGTGACGGACCGCTCCGGGCTCAAATGCAGAAGGCGGTGCTCCTCGATACCGCCCGCATCGTCCGCCGGTTTCTTTCCCTTTCTCCCTAACCCTCGGCCGTCTTGTCTCCCCTGCCGAGGGCTCCCATCTGGTTGGATCTTATTTGTTTGTGTAGTTTTTGTATTTATTTTATTTTATTGATATTTATGTACATTTATCTTTTCATTTTAATTTATAATTATATGTATATTTATAGAACCCAACCAGGTGAGAAAATTATATAGATACCCCAACATAATAATTACTGCGGATAGCGTTTCTTTTCATTTACAAGTGTAAATGAAAAGAAACGCTATCCGTCTGTAAATTAGATGTGACAGATCTCTTTCAGCAGCCACAAACTAAACAATTCGTTATTTTTCGCGCAACTAGATTTAGTCTAATGAGCAGTGCGGCTGCAACTAGTTTTATTGTATGCATGGACCACGTGGACTCACGGGTGACAGCGCATCTGCATTTTGATTTGTAATCGAGGATAGATGTAGATATCTATGGGCCACAGTAACCACTTATTATCAGGTGGACTGGGTGCTCGTTTGTTACCCTATCCATAAATAAAAAAAAATCGGGAGAGATATTATACACGTGATTGCTGATATGAAATTAAATCTCTGAAAACCTTCCAATTACTCAACAAGTGCAAAGTCTTATCTTATATTACATCGAGCCTTGAAGGAGCTGCTTCGGCGCAAAGAAGTGACTGGATGGAATTTAGATTAAATTGGTCCTAAGAGATGTGTAATATATTGTGATCTTATTTCAGAACGTATTAGTTTTTTGCGTATTTATTTCTTTTTTATGAGAAAGGTTAATTTTATTATATTTAATGAGTTTTCGTTTTTCATCTCAAAATAATCAAAACGTAACATACATACATACATACATAAACACTCACGCCTGTCACCCAGAGGGGTAGGCAGAGACTACAGACTTCCATTTGGCACGATCCTGACACACCTCTCTTGCCTCCTTCACATCCATACACCTACGCATACATGCTCGTCGGTTAAGGGTACTCCTAATTTGGCCCGTTTTCAATAAATCGCCAATTTGGTCGATAATTTTTCGCCTAGGACGTCCCTTTCCGACTCTTCCATTCACTTCCGCACCATACATTTTCTTTGTCACTCTTTCCTCATTCATTCTTTCCACATGACCAAACCACCGAAGCATTCCTTTCTTAATCCTGGTCACAACATCATCTTGCAAACCACACTCTTCTCTTATTACACAATTTCTTACCCTGTCATTCAGATTCAGCCCTAACATACTCCTTAACGACCGCATTTCTACTGCGTTTATTCTACTCTCGTGCTTCTTCTGCCACACCCAACTTTCACTACCATACGTTAAAGTAGGGACCAACACAGCATTGTGAATTGCCATACGTGCCTTTTTCGACACATTTGAAAAAAAAACGTAACACTTATGAAATAAAATCGGCGTCCGTCTGTCCGCCAGTCTGTTTTTTTATTTGATGTATAACGCCAGCAAAGTTATTGATGCACGGTTTTTTTTATATAAAATATATAAAGTTGAATTAAGGGGGTATATTTCAACAAGTACACCACTGACACTATAGTAAAAAAATAGAGTTATCGTGTGTGAATTTATGCATAATGAATAAATTAATAAAATGTTTTCACAACTTTATTGGGTGATTTGAATGATTGATGGAATGCTCGTCGGAACTTATAAAGAATGCGAGAAACATGAATTTGCTTATCATGGTAAACGACGTAAGGAATTTAACTGATACAAGCGACATTTTACTTATTCTTTTTTTCTTTTTCTTCTTTATCAGTCCGCAAAGTTGCACTTGAGTGCCCCTCATGGTAGAGATCCGTGGATATGCCATAATCGCACACACTTAACAAGAGCTATCACAATCTCAGACGTCTTACGCTTTGTCGCTACTTACCATCCTCGGCCAGCGCATTTTTACTGAGGTATTGAGGATCTGAGGATGGCCTATTGTACGGCGGCACTAATTGTTTTACCATCTCAGAAATGAGAATTGGCTCTGTGTCGTGCATGTTACTTATATTCTTACTTTTGATGCTATTTACATTTCGTTTCGTTTTCGCCTTGCTGCTGTAATTGTAAGAATTATTGGATCATTATAGTTACTTAAAAATATTTACTTGGCTCGGCAGGGGGTCACTTATCGGGATAAAAACGAAAATAATATTAAAGAATATTTATCGTTATAATATCTCATCTGATTATTGCATGTACTTGTATTTTTAATGTATCAGTTATTTTGCAGTTAACTGTTCCAACGGTGTCGGCGAGCATCAAAATAATTTGCTAATATAATATTTCATTTAAAATTCGACACTTATCCGCTGAGTTACAGCAGTTTTCTTCGAGGTCAGTGTAAAAGTCTGCTAAAACTTGTAATGGCTCCGTGGTGAACTCATCCCGGTCATTAAACTCTCTTATAAATGCAAGGGAGTTCTGTTCTCACCAATGTATCGTATGTAGGATGTTACATTACGGTTTTTCAAACATTTTCTTGGTGATTAAAAGAAATTGTGGTGGTAATCATAAGTTTTGTGTAGTATGCGATAAATAAATCATGGAAGACGGCTTTCGTTCACCCGATCCCTAAAAAAGGCGACCGCTCAGACCTCTCCAACTACCGGCATATCGCCATCACCTCCTTGTTCTCCAAAACAATGGAGTCCATTGTAAACTGCCAGCTCATGAGGTGCCTTGAGGATCACCAGCTGATTAGTGACCGCCAATACGGTTTTCGCCGTGGTCGGTCAGCTGGTAATATTCTGTTCTACCTAACTTACAGATGGGCGGAGGCAGTAGAGTCCAAGAGGGAGGCATTGGCTGTTAGTTTGGACATTGCGAAGGCCTTCGATCGGGTTTGGCACAAAGCGCTTCTTTCGAAGCTCCCTTCCTATGGGCTTCTCGAGAAATTGTGCGATTGGATCACCAGATTTCTTGCAGATCGGGGCATCAAGGTCGTTTTAGACGGTGCAAACTCCGATTACAAGCCTATTAATGCTGGTGTTCCACAAGGCTGCGTGCTATCGCCAACGCTGTTTCTTCTGCATATCAATGATATGTTGCAAACCCGTATCATTCATTGCTATGCAGATGACAGCACTGGTGATGCTCTTTACACCGGCCAAGCCAATATTTTTCGGGAAAATGTCTCCGAGTGCCGGGACAAACTTGTGTCTGAAGTCGAGTCTTTTTTGAACAGAGTCTCGGATTGAGGGCGACTAAATCTAGTCCAGTTTAACCCCCAGAAGACACAAGTTTACGCGTTAACCGCTAAAAAGAACCCCTTTGTCGTATCTCCTCAGTTTCAAGGCACTCCCCTTGTTGCCTCAGCCAGTATCGGAATCCTTGGCGTCAACATATAGTGACGTGCAGTTTCGTGGTCACTTGGAAGAGAAGGCCAAATTGGCTTCTAAAAAGCTTGGCGTGCTCAGCAAAGCGGGACAGTATACACCGCCTGCAACTTTACAAGGCGCAGGTTCGGCTGCACATAGAATACTGTTCCCATCTCTGGTCTGAGGCTCCCTAGTACCAGCTCCTTTCACTTTACCGCATCCAGCACAGAGCGGCTCGAATCGTCGACGACCGAGTGCTTTCGCATCGGCTCGATTCACTGGCGTTGCGAAGAGATGTTGCATCTCTTTGCGTATTTTATCGCATCTATCACGGGGAGTGCTCTGAGGATTTGTTCGGATTAATTCCAGCCACCAAACTGCGTGAACGCACTACGCGGCAAATGTCCCGATACCATCAACACCATCTGGATGCTTGGCGGTCCACCACAACTTGGAGTTTTCTTCCGCGTACGACCTCTTTGAGGAGTAGTTTACCACCAGCGACTTTTCCGGATCGATACGACCTGGGGACCTTCAAGAAAAGAGCCTACTCCTTTCTAAAGGGCCGGTAACGCACTTGCAATTCCCCTGGTGTTGCGGATGTTCATGGGCGGCACTTACCATCAGGTGAGCTGCATGCTCGTTTGCCCCCTCTTCTATAAAAAAAAACAAGGTTAATTCGGGTCCGAGACGACCTGTTTACGTACTGCGGTTAGCAACCTTCTTTATCGTGTTAAAATTTAACAAGAAAGATGTATTGACCCAGTTTCAAATATTACTGCAAGAAATTTATATTTCTGCAGACTAAACATGCGCAGCAAACAATGACCGCTTTGTTGTTGTTCTTGTAGATGAATGAATACGAACTCGAATAACTATTGTTGAACTTTCCTAAAAGTGTTTTTATTGTAAGTTTTCTAAAAATCTCGTTCCTTTGTGGCCAAGTACTTGATGAATTACGCGAGAATATTCATCTTCGCTAGACCTCAGTTTTAACTTTTAAATTGCTGCTTATATCTCATATAAAAGTACTTTTAGAAAATGTAGGAGAATAAAATAGGAGATATTTCTATAGTTTATTTATTTTATATATCAATAAAATGTATATATTACGTAGTTAATTATCATTTTATTTTGTTTTTTATTCTATATTGCTACACCTACGTCAAATTCTCACCACACCATGGGTAGACTGGTAGAGAATGCCTCAAGGCATTAAGTCCGCCCTTGTATTATTGTGTATTAAGGAATGCGATAAAGAGTAAATAAATAAATAAATAAAGTATATAATTTTTGAGTTTACTGGGACTGACGGTTTTCCGAACCAATACGACTTCAAGAAAACAGGTTCAATGTCGTAGATATTCATGTGCGGCGATGGTCACTTACCATCAGATGAAAGGTATTGTTTGCTAACTCTACTATAAAAAAATTGGAATTGCTTTCAAAGAATGGTCCTCGTTAAAACTGTACACCTACAAGCTAATTTGTTTAATATATAAATGTTATTGGACGGCAGCTATTTACAATTTTCTTCCAAATAACAGGCCGTTCTTACCTCCAATTTAGTCAAAAATATTGGCCATCAATTACTGAATGCAAGTTTAGAAAAGAGAAATAAGCCAAATAATATAAAGGAAAATTTTATTTCATATTAACTTAAATCTCAATTCCACAGTTAAAGTTAAAGTTATAGCCTATATACGTCTTACTGCTGGGCACAGGTTTCATCTTACTTTGGAAAGGAAGTGTCCGCCATGCTGCCGCAATTGCAATGCGTGTCAAATCACGTCCATGATGTTTTCCTTCACCAAAAAAATTGTTCAATCATGCAATTAACAAATTCATTGGCGCCAGCAGAGCCCGATCCCGGATGCTCGTGTACTGTGTTCGATTGTGTTCAGTGAAATATTAATCAGTAAACTTCGATACTATCGTGTAAGAAGTGATGCTCTTAAATTAAATATTTTATATTTTAGTAGTAAAACGCAAACAGTTGTCGTTAATAGTAGAGTTCTTGCTGGTCGATAGAACAAATGGACATGCCTCAGGCACAATTCGCAGCCCCTTTCTGTTTCTTGTATATATTGACTCACCTTACATAGTAGGGGGTAACTATGTTATAGCATTATTTGCTGATGACGATTAATGAAGTATTAATTCTCAAATTAAAACGACAGTTACTAAATTATGACGAAGTAAATAATGCTATATCTAAATTAGTAAATTGGCTTAATGATAATTATTTGCATTTATTGCTTAACGTCAGCTATATGTTCTTTTACGCGGGTTCTAACATCCCTTTGTATGAATCTTTTTTTCTATACACAGGATTTTGGATGACTAACATCTAGGACAACTAAGGAATTATTTTCCTCTAACTCCATAGTAAATCGAATCTTAGAGAATATGGATTTAAGATATTTTTTTAAAATACAGTTACTTTGTCTGGTGGTAAAATTGTGAAAGTAAGTCTACGTACCCGTTGTAGAATCTTGGAGTTATAGGTTCAGTAAGGAGGGCTTTCTCCTCAAAGTCTTCCATGAATATATCGGCGACAATGGGAGATACAGGTGAGACCATCGCAACACCATCTACTTGCTTGTAAAACTCTTCCTTCCACAATAGATAGCCAGATGTAAGGCAATGTCTGAGTAGTACTGCAAATTCTGCAAGCATGTTATTGTCCTCTAGTTTCGCAGTTATATATATTTTTTTAATATACAAAACGTTATCCCCACAGAAAGATTTTCTCCTGTATCATGGTGGCAGTTTACATACATAAATTGCACAATGACAAACATCCAGATCCGGATCAATTACTTGTAAGCCATACAAATACTTGTTCCGTGTGGGATTAGAACCCGCGGCCATCAGCGCTATAGCTCATTGCTAAGCCACTGCGCCACGGATCCGTTAATAATTGAGATGCAGTCTTCAACAGGCATGCATGTAGACACAGTAAGTTCATTCTACATAGATCGTACCATAAATAATAATTAAAAAACTGAAGGTACTCCGGGTTAACATTGACATCGGGTCGTCAGTCACCTAAGTCCCCCCGTGACCATGGGTGCTGGAAATGTCAGGAATTAAAAAATTAAATAAATTAAACGTGATAAAATCCGTAAAAGTAGTTTTAATCAATGCGCAGTGTTTGCGTAAATATAAGAAATCATTATGCAAAACTAAAACATTTTAAATTGCGTTAAAATTAAAATAGTTAAGAGAGAAATTTTAGTTATATCAGAAGGGACATTAAAATTTCCCCTCAATATAAGTGTTTTTTAAATATTTGTGCGTTGTATAAATGTAATGAAAGTTATTAGCAACTGAATAAAAAGCAAACAACATTATTTCTACTTCTCCGATTTCGCTCCATGGTAGACAATAGAAATATTATTGAAAAAAATATCAGAGAACAACAAATTCTTACAAGGTATAAAATTAGTATAAGAACGTAAAACCACTGAAAAAACATATCGGCAGTCGTCCATTTAACTACTAGGCATCCATCCCGTCCTACCGGATAACACTCTAGCGAGGCATATTTCTTGGGCTCTATAAACGTGATATTGGTACAGGCTCCGTGCAGGTAACAATTCTACACACTTCTCTAGAAGTGAACAAAATATGTACAAAATAGCATTTCCATTAAAACTATTTTTAAAACTATATTATCATCAATTAGCGGTGATATGCGCAGTGCAGCGTAATAATATAATAGCTAAGATTTATTAAAGTTCTCAACTCAAGTAATCCCTAAACAAAGATTATTCGCCAAAATTAACTTAATATGCAAATTGTGATTGCATTGAATGTTTACTTTTATTGCTCTGAAGATTTTACTGTTCTGAAGATGTTAAATTTCTAAAGTTCCTTGTTTGATTAATTGATCAAAAATTAAAATGGAAAGGACAAATAAATAAAGTGTGCTAAAAATAACTGTATATCGTAT